CATCATAAATATTTTCACAATTGATTTTGCAGCTGTATTAAACACTGACTGGGAAAAAAAAACCAAAAATGTGGATTTCTCACGCATTAATAAACTTGGTTATAGCTATAAAACATAACAAAACAGAAATTTAATAGGTTGCTGAATGAGGAAAATGGATAAAACTAATAAAATATGATTTTTAGAGGTAAAACTATTATTAATTTATTATCTGAGAAATTCAAATTCACTTCCTGCTGGCACAAGATTTATCCCTTAGTTTTTGTTCCTCCTCTCTGGATGGAAACACAACTCAAACTGTGCAAAACGACAAAAAATGCCATCATGGATTTAAAWGGGAAAAACACAGTTTGCTGAACAAGAAGCAGCTTTTTGTCTGAACGGCAGGGTTAAATCTGCTCCAGAAGTGTGAATTTGATGAGCATGGTTGTGATCATCACCGTCCTGCTCAGATGAAGTTACCAGCACCGGTTCTTAGAAACATTTCAAACACGTCTTTTTTTATAGCTTTGCTTTATTTAGCTTTGTTTTCCACAGAGACCGTCGCTCCCTCTTCAAACTGGGCCATCAGAACCTCAGCGAGCCTCCGAACGAGCCCTGAAACRTGACGAGGCCACGCTCAGACCGTCGGTCGGCTCTTTGTTTCTGACCCCCCCTGTTGTTTTTTCTTCTCGCAGGTGCACCTTCAGGTTCCCCAGCACCAACATTAAGATCACCTTCACGGCCCTGCCCAGTGGGAAGAAGGCGAAGCGCGAGGCCCCGGAGTCCCCAGTGAAACCCGTACAGCCCCAGATCTCCCCCCTGACCATCAACATTCCAGACAACATCGCTCACCTAATGAGCCCCCTGCCATCGCCCACTGGCACCATCAGGTAGATCCGTTCAGAACCGGACTCCTCTTCCTCTCATTGGCTTTATTTCACTAATTAATGTTTTAGACCAGTGGTTCCCAAACTTTTTATCTTCTGACCCACAAAATATCCATGGCGAAAACTTGTGACCCCAAATATTACTGGTCTGAGTACATGGACTTTGTTAATAACCCTAAAAACACAGACTTTTGACAATCTAAACAGCTTGTACACAAATATAAATACTAATTTATACTTATTTTGTGTTTTTGTAATAATTATAGGGAAAATATTACATCATAAAGTATTTTATTACCCTTTAAATTGATTTCTGGAGATTATCCAAGGTGCTTCATGACCCATAATTGGGTTCCAAGGCCAACTTTGGGAACCAAAGTGC